CAACATAGGATTTTACCATCCAGTTCTGCCTATCCTCTAACTCTTTCAATGGCCAAAATGGCCCTCTTGAAGCATGAATCATATTATGCTTGATTAAAAACCCTCTGCTGCTTCCCAGTGATGCTTAGAATGAATGCCAACTTATCCCTGACCATAAAAAACCACCTCATCTGGTCCCTGCCTTCCTCTCTGCCCCCATATCCTCCTTGTACAACACAGGTCAGTCATATGAGGCTCGAGTCCCCTCCTAGAACATTCCAAGATTTTCCCTGCCTGAAAGAGTTTGCATTTGCTGTTCCCACTGCTTTTCATGTGTTTGAGTTCGTCTGTCAGAGATGCCCTTCCTAAGTGCAGTGAATTACTCCCCATTGTCGTTTTCTAGCACAGAGTGCTCATCTTCCTCAGCATTTAAGGCAACCAGAAATGATTTACTTACATATCTCCATCACTAAAATATGACTTTTCTGTATTGATTACTCCTATGAGTCTAGGTACCTGACACAGTGAATGGCACACAACAGGTACTGATCAATGAATGAACAAATACCAAGTGTCTTAATCCTTGATCCCAACCTGTCAGATGAGTGCTCTGGGATCCCCATGTGGATTTACACACCAGAATCACTGGAGAATGTTCAACAAAACTACAAATTCTTAGACCGAACTTTGAGAATTCTGATTCAGTCAGCTTCTTTGGAAGAAATCAATTTTATTTCTTCCTCTAGTCTCATCCAAAGTCAGCTGAACCATGACCTCTATCGGGTGATGCTATCATGCCAGTGATGACTCTACAGGTAGCTACTTGCTTTTTTTGTTGTTGTCATGGTTGGATGCTGATATGGGAATCTGCTGAGGTGGCAGTGGTAAAGCATCATTAAGAGCAAACAGCTAACTCATCTCTGTGTCAAATGAGGCTAATTACACCAGCAAAACCCTCTCTGTCAGCAACTAGGAAACACACTGGGAAGCAGCTGGGAAAGATTTACCCACTTCCTGCTCTCCTTCTGAAGACGCTAGTCAGGCCAGGCAGCATTCCTGGTAGAAACTCTTAAATCTGCTTGATCATCAAAGGTGTTTGGTCGCCTGAAAACAAGTGGGATTCATCAGAGCTGAATGGAAAATTGAATGCTCATAAGCAAGAATTTAGATCGTTTCTTGGGAGAACTTCATATTTACATTTAAATGGTAGTCTTCTATTTTCTTTATAGGCAACTCCATCTAAAAGTCTCTCCGTTTCTTTCTGTAAAATTGCCAAGATTTTTAAAGCTTCTTTTGTTTATTGCCATGAAAAGAATTGTTTCTCTCAAAGAAATGTTTTTTAAATATTCTGTATTCTGTATTTGTCTTTGTTTTTCTTTAAATGTTTCTATGGCTAGCCCTGAAATATGATGAGTCATGTTAACCTTTGTTGAGGGTTATAATAGTTTGAATGGGAAACGTCCTTCACAGGCTCATGTTTTGAATATTCAGTCTCCATATTAGTGGTGCTGATTTTGAAGGTTGTAGAAACTTTGGGATGTGGGGCCTAACTGGAGGAAGTTAGTCACTAGAGATGGGCCTTGAACATTATACACAGTTCTGGTTCCAGTCTGTTTTCTTTGCTTCCTAATTGGCCACTATGTGAGGACTCTCAATCATATGCCTCAGTGCTATGCACTCCATGTCATAATGGACTGAAACTTCCCTGAAACCATAAGCCATGATACCCTTCCTTCCCCCAAATTGTTCCTGTCAGGCATTTTGTCACAGTGACAAGCAGAGTAACTAATGCCCAGGCTTACTCTGGATGACGTATTCTCCCACTTAATTTGTGTATGTATTTCTTCATTTAAATATTTCTATACTCACTTCATAGGTATTGTTATTAGACCAATAAATTGTCCAGGTTTGGGTGTTCTATAAAGACTGGGGCTCAGGCTTTAATGTAGGCATACTGACTCTAGGTCTTCCTTTACATCCTTTACATTTAGATCAGTATTTCCCAAAGCATGAATTTTTGAAAGTGAATTACATAAAATATTAGTAAGTGGGTTTTTCTTAAAATAAAAAAGCATGAGTTAATTAAATAAGTCTGGGGATTATTGGGTTGAGCAAATAGGTTTCTCTGGTGTGGGATATTTTAGTCTCTAACAGCTTTATAAATGTCTAAAACAGCTGGGTATAGTGATACACACCTGTAATCTCAGCACTTGGGAGGCCAAGGCAGAGATCATGAGTTCAAGGCCCTAACCAAAAACAATAATAATAATAAACCTCTAAAACGCAGACACAGTATACAATATTGACTACAGACACAGCATATATAATATTTACAAGCCTTCTTGAATACAAATCTCTTTTTAGGTGAGTCTATTTACTTGTTTTTACAGTGCTGGGGGATTCATGCTGAGCACATGTTCTACCAACAAGCTATCTCCCCAACCCCTGGCTAAATCTCTTTAGGCCCTTATTCTATGACCCAAGTCTATAAAATGATAATCTACAAATCACTGGTCCACAGTGTGGTGTGGCTCCCTGACTACTGAGGCCAAGCTCTTACTTGCCTTTTACAAGGATGAAGGGAAGAGCTCATAGTTGAGTGCAACCAGAAGTTGCCAAGATACCCCACATTTCCTTCTTTAAAAATTGTCATTCAAGTAAACAGATGACCATATTTTTCTGGGGTCTAACTTAGCTATGCCTATGAAAACCTTGTCAGACTTAGGGTGCTCAAGATAAACCACTGGGGTTGGGAGAAGTGTTAGAATGTTCACTTAAGACTGCTTACATTTATCTGAGTGTGGTAGCACACACTTTTAATCCCAGCACTCAGCAGGCAGAGGCAGGTATATCACTGTAAGTTTCAGGCCAACCTGGTCTAAATAGAAAGTTATAGGCCAGCCAAGAAAAGCTACATAAGAGAAACCCTGTCTAAAAAATGCTTACATTTAATTTTCTGCTTTTTCATCTCTGCAATTTTCAAGGTTCTATATATTGAGTTTTCCCTTGGTATCTGAGGGAAAACACCAAAATGTGAAGTTGCTCAAGTTCCTTATGCAACATAGCATAATATTTATACATAACATAAGCATATCTTTCTGCATATCCTTTATATCATCTCCAAATGACATATAATAACTAATGCAATGCTAATATTATATAGTTATTGCAATATACTGGTTAGGGAATAATGACTAAGAAAAAAGCCCATACATGTTCAAATATAATTTTTTTCCAAATGTTTTTAAACTACGGTTAGTTGACTCTGGATGCATAACCCTGGATTATGGAGACCATACATATATAATATTGGATTAGTAACATATGTATATAATTTACAAAAAGAATTTAATATACATGTTAGAAATGTGCTGCAATAACATTAAGGGGATTGTTTAGCCATACACACGAAAAGTATTTAGTTTTCACATTCTTTGGCCAGCAATTTGACTTCTTAGAATTTGTCCAATTTACCCTAAGGAAATAAACTTGGATATACACAAATATGTAGCTGATAGGAAGTTTATTGAAGAACTCTTTGTACTTGTGAGAAATAAAAACAGTTTAAATGCTCAACAACTGAGGACTGAGTGCATGAACTATGTGTTTATAAACTAAAGCTCTTAAGAGAGAACTTAAAAATTACATGGTTGTACAATATAGAATTACCTCAAAAAGTCAGATTTTTACCAATTATAAGACACGAAGGACAAGCTGGGTGTGGTGGCACATGCCTGTAATCTCAGCACTCAGGAATCAGGGGCAGGAAGAGAGTTGCAAGTTCAAGACCAGCCCAGGGACTAGTGAGTTCCAAGCTAGCCAGAACTCTATAACAAAACCCTGTCTCAAAAAGAAACTAACTAGAAAACAAGAAACTACAACACTAAACCACGGAAGGGATATAGGTCAGGATCTATTGCACTGGTATTTTCATATTTAATTATATTCTTTTTACTCTTTCCTACAAAGATATCATGTCATACACACTGTTTTGGAGTTTGCTATACTCAGTGGACTTACCATTTTTCCTTCCATCTATATGGAAACATAGCTGAAGGATACATTTTGAAAGTAGAATTGCTGGGTCAAAGTAAATGTCTATTTATAATT